CGGTCGGGGGCAAGCCTGCTGTATCCGGTGTGGCTGCTGAGGCGCTGAGAGCCGCCAGCTGAACGACTGCTGCCCCGAGCTCCGAGCTCCGAGTGCAGTCCCCGCCTTGGGACAGTTAACGAAAGCCTCACACAGTCAGTCACGGATGCCGAGGACCTACCAACTTTTTCCTGTGGGGACTGAGGTGCCCAGATCCCTCTCCCAGGCATCCATGCAAACGAGTTGTGGCCCGTTTGAAGGACTGCTGAGCTTCCAAGGATCAGCAACCCACTGAAGTGGTTCAAGTTAAGGGAGGGCTTAGGAAAAGCAACTCCTGGATTCCAGGAGATTCCGGCCCGGACGCAAAGCAAGGCTGGGCCCTGGCAGGGTGCGGACAGGGAGTGGGTGGCGGTGTGTCCCACTCACTCCTGGACAGCCTGTTCCCCTGCGCCTGCCCCCTCCATCTGCCTCCTTGTGTCTCCCTCCCCCCGGGATGCTGGCTGCTGGCTTCAGCCTACCCTGCCCCTGGCAGAGGATGAGCCTGGAGGTGGGAAATCAGGCCCCCGGGCCCAGAGGCCAGCGGGGACAGTGGAAGGGACAGGCTCAGCTGAGAGATAGGACAAGAGTCTGACAGCGGAGGGTGAGGAACAGGTGGAGGACCCTCTCAAGGACGCGGCTGGTGGGTGCGGTGGGCTGGCCTCCAGGGCGGCCGGGTCAGAGGAGAGTCTGAGGGTGGGGAGGGCTGGAGCTGGGCAGGGCGAGGGGGCACACAGGAAGGAGGGGGCTGGTCTGGAGGAGGGGCACTCCTTCTTGGAGTCAGGCAGGATGGGGGCCTTAGATTCCAGAGATGGAGGGGAGTCGGCCCACCAGTCCCCAGACGCGCTTCCTTCTCTCTCTTTCCTTACGTACTGAGCCCTCAAGCATCCCCAGCGCTGTACCAGGGGCTGTGGACACACACACACACACATGCAAACACGGAACCCCTGGGCCCCAGTCTTACGGGTCTTATGATCTAGTAGGGTTAGCAGATCATAGTCCCGCGTTGCCTAATTTTAAAGCCATATCGGAATGAACTTCAGCCAGTTTCCCTGCCCCCTCGCACAACCAGCTGCCTGTCAGACGAGAACTACCATTCTTGGCTGGAAATTCTACCTTGTATCTGACTTGCTGAAGTGGGTTTAGTCCCTTCCAGTGAGGCACTTGGGGTCAAGGAGAAGACCCCCTCTGCACATAGGCTCACTGAGGCCCCCAGAGTCTGCCTCCCGCCCGAGGCCTGGCCCGGGGGAAGCAGCCAGTAGCTGGGAAGGCGCCAGCACCCACACAGCATCACTTCGAGTCAAGCTGCAGATAAGCCCTGCCTCTCCCGTGGACCCCGTCCCGGGGGGCGAACTGCCTGCTGCCCCCTGCCTGTTCCCAGCCTGTCTCCCCGGCCCGGGCTGCTGGCATCTGCTTATCGGGATTCTCAGGAGGGACAGCTGGTTTATGTCACACGCCTGCTCCCTCTCGTCCCCTGCCTATCTGTTCTGGTTTTAAATAGCTTATCTGAGCAGCTGGATGACCACATGGGCTTATATGGCGTGGGGTACGTGTTCCCCTAGCCCTGCCCCTGGAACCTGCCAAAATCACAGCCAACACCCCCACTGCCCCCCCCGCCCCCAGCCTCCCCCCGGCGCGTCTCCTGCCACACATTCCTCTCACCACAGGGCTGGCTCCCCAGCCCCAGCCCACATGCCTGCTTAAAGCCCTCTCCATCCCTCGCCCTCACCCAGTCCCCGCCGAGGCGGGCCAGACCTCAGGACCCGTCTGAGCTCCTGTTCTGAGGTAAGGCTCCGGCAGACTTGAGAGAGCAGAGGGAAGGGCCCTGGGGCCTGGCCCCCTGTCCAGAGTGCCCGCGTCCCCTCTGAGCAGGTGTCGGAGCTGGGAGGGTCCCCTTCCCTCTGGAGCTTCAGAGAGGGTGTTGGCAGGGACGGCTCTAGGACTCGGGCAGCAGGGTGGCGGGAACCCCATGGCAGAGACGGCAGACGGGTCTGGGTCCCGGACCAGCCGCAGAAGGTGCTGTGTGGTTGGCACATCTGGGTGAGTAGCTGCCCCGCCCTGGGCCTGTCTCCTCGGTGGCAGAATGGACAGACGGTGGCCAGACCCCTAAGCACGGTGATGCTCCAGCCTGCGGGAGCTTCCCCGGGTCACTCGGTGCCCCACTGCAAGGCAGAGGGTCCTCCTGACCTGGCCCAGGTGGGCTCTTCTCCATCCCTGGAGACAGAGTGAGGCTGTGGTCACATTGGTCAGAACAGTCCTTGGGCCAAACTCTCTTCTCCAGGATCAGAAACTGTCCCGCAGAAGGACCACATGCCCAGAGGCAGGCAGGAACCCCAGCGGACAGGGCGTCTCCTGACCTCCCAGACCTGGCATCGCGCCCGTGTCCCCAGACAGGACGTGGGCCGACCTCTCTCTGGGAGAACCTTTCATGGAGCGTGAACCCAGCTGACTGGGTTAGAGGGTTAACTCTGGGTCCAGCTGCCTCCCCAGGGTCCCTGCCATGGTGACCCCCGCCCCGCCCAGCCCATGGCGAGAGCCCTTGCTCTCAGCTCTGAAGTGGTGAGGCGAGAAATAGCCCCTCTGCTCCCAGGAGCACTGCAGAAACGCCAGGGGAAGGGCCGCCTGGCGTGCGGGGCATTTCAGAGCATGGTCCTGTGCTGGTGCAGCTGGGAAGCCACCTGGTCCCCCAAATTCTTTCCCTGACCCATGTGCTCCCGCCTCGGGGCAGAAGAGGAATCTGAGAGCATCAAGTTGCCCACCGCCCTCTCCCTCCTGCCCTAACGCCCCACCCCCGCCTGGCCCAGCCGTACCCTGCACCCCAGCTCTCCTGGTGGCTGACAGCTGCAGGCTTAGGAAGCGTCCAGCTGAATTTTAGGGATAAGGGCTGAGGAGTGGGGCCTCCATTCCTCAGAGACTCAGACTGTTTCTGCAAGACTAGAACCTAAAGCTCCTCTATTTTATAGGTAAGTGAACCGAGACCCAGAGAGGTTAAGTGACTTAACTAAGGTCACACAGCAAAAACTAGGGTCTAAACCCAGATCTGTTGACCGCAGGGCCAGTGTTCTTTTTGCCTTCTATTGTTTTTGCTTTGCTCCCCAAGAAAGGGGACCCGACCTCTCAGATGTGAGGGGGACTGGCTAGGAAGCAGTCTGTGGGGCAGGAGGCGGCTCCGGTGCGGGCATTCTCATTCCTTGCCTGCCAGGTTCTCCACTGTCTCCTCGCTGGAGCCCCAGCCCCAGCCCATCGTCTCCCCCACCCTCTGTCCCCTTGGACAATTGTCTTGCTGTGTCCTCTTTGCTGAATGCCCGCCCCCACCCAGCCTTGTGGTGGCAGGCTATTTTTAGGGGCTGGACAGTGCTCCCAGGAGCAGGGGGAGGTCTCCAGGGCCACGCCCAGGGGTGAGGGTGGGCTGGAAAGAAGAGAGGGCTAGACCCCAAGCCCCAGGCTGGCCACACACAGTCCCCGGGGAATCTCCCCCCTCCCTGAGATGACACATTCCTCCTGGGGTTCAGGAGCGGCTGCCCAATTCTCAGGCTGCTGGTTCTGGCTATGCCCCTGGGGCTCCAGGCAGTGCTTATCCACCTGGGCTGGGGGCGGCCCTCCTGCGCTCTCCCCCGAAGCCCTACTTGGAGACGCTTTGGGGTGTGAGTCTCTCTCCTTACCTGTCTGATGTCTCTTCTCTCCCACCCCTACCTGGGGGAGCCAAAAGGTGGTACAGCTTTTGTCCAAAGCTCCTTGTAACCAGCCCCACCCTCCGTGCCCCACCCGACTCCAGATTCCAGACTCCAGCGAGGGGGCTGGGGAGGGGCCTGCCTTGCTGTAGCCGCACTGTCCTGACCCAGCAGAACTGGACCAACTAGAGCAGGCTGGGGACAGGGGCTCCTTCAGAACCTCAAAGGGGCTGCCTTGTGGCAGAAATCACGCCGCGTACTGAAGCTGTGGCTCACTGGATGTCAGATGGCTGCTTAGGGCCAGCCTCAGCTGCTACGGCGGGTCATATGGGGACAGGTGGCCAGGGCAGTGGGCATCACTATCTGTGCCACTGTCACTCACAGCGCTGGACATCAGTGGGACAAAGGCAGGGGAGGCCTCAGGTCACCCCGTCCCTTGTCTCCCAGGAGAGGAGGGAACTGAGGTGTAGGGAGGCCAATGACCTTTCCAAGGTCACATGCAAGTCCGTGATGGAGCCAGTAAAGCCAGATTAGTCTCACAGCCCAGTCCTGTGTGTGGCTTCCTCCACCCTTCCCTTGGCTTCTCCTGTCGGCACGCAGAAGTTACAGTAAAACACCTTCCTCCTTGTCAGCCCTGCCCTCAGAGACCCCAGGGCAGGGCAGCCAGGGCGCGGGCATCTGTCTCCATGGCACAGAGGAACAGCTGATGTCAGAGGCCTTGGGAAGACTTGTCCAAACCTGAGTCTCCACTGCCTGTTCCTAGTGTGGGGGTGTGTGTGTCTCGAAATGAACGTTTCCTTAGGGAAACTCCAGTTAATTGGATGGTGGTAGATAATGTGCCGTTGTGAGAAGGTACAGGCCCCCGTTCACTTTGCTCAGATCCCTGCCCCTCGCCAGCGGAAACATCTGCACAATCAGCTACAGATCACAGCCGGGACCTGGAATTGGCCCCGATCCACCATCTTCCTCCGATTCCCGGGTGCCGCTTGGACTGTGTGTGCGCGCGCGTGCGCGCGTCTGTGTGCGTGTGAGAGTGTGCGCGAGTGTGTGAGTCTATTCCCTTTTAACCGCTGTGGCTCAGTGGATCCACCACCACAGTGAAGACGCCGAGCAGCTCTGGAGCCGCGGGGCCCCTCAGGTGCCTCATCACCACGCCCACCTGCCCCCAGCCTCCCCACCACCCCTGAAACCAGTCTGCTCTCCATCTCTGCCGCTTTGCCACTTCAAGAGCGTGACACAAATGTAACCATATGAATTGGCTTTTCCTGCCATCAGTGAGAGTCGCCCCCGGCAGACTCAGCCAGGCAGGGGTGCGCCCCGGTTTGTTCCTTTTATTGCCAAGTCGAGTCCGTAGCCAGGCCAGGGCTGTGCGGCTCTCCCGGGGCGGCTGTGTGGCTGGAGCTGGGGGCAGGGTTCTCCCCTGAGCACTGGGCAGGGCTGTGGCCTGAAAATGCATTTAGAGCCATTGTTCAGAAAGGCACGATGTTTGAGGCCGCTGCCCCGCTGGGGCGCTGGTGTCATCGTCGCCGACACAGGAGAGCGTGGGCAGACGCCGCGTCACGGGCTGCAAGGGGCGGGTGGACAGCAGGGCTCAGGTCTTCTCGCAGAGCTGAGGGCCGGCCCTCCGCCCACCCTGACTGCTTCTCTCCCCAGAGGGAAGTGGACACCATGTCGGACGTGGAGGAGGCTGGAGAGGAGTACGAGGAGTGAGTACCGGGCGCCCTGTCGGTCCCCTCTGCACGCCTGGCCAGGGCTGCGGCATCCTGGGCCCCGAGGCCACCATCAGGCAAGGGGATCAGCAGTGAGCCCCCAGAGAGTTTCCCTAATGACTCCGAGGCCACAGAGTATCTAGCCCCAGAAACCCACTTCAGAGCCTTGTCACCGCTGCCTGGGAAGTTGCTGTCCCTGCACTTCCCTGTGCCCCACACTGCTCTGAGGGCCAGCTGTCCTAAGGGGGACACGCTGGAGGCCAGCCAGCCATCTCCTGGAGGGGCGGGTGCCCAGGGAGGAACCTGTGCAGGCACATCTGGGCGCGGAGGGTGGAGGGCTTGGGGGCTGCGTGTGGGTGGAGATGGGGGAGGAAGAGGGCTCTCGGGGTACAAGGGGAGCTGGGAGGTACGTGAGGGAAGAGGCTGGCAGAACGCAGGGGAGGTCAGCGGCTGACCTGATTTCCTGGGGACAGTGGGAGGCAACGTGGAGGGAGGCTGGGCTGGGCTGGGCTGGGCTTTGTGGCCAGGTGGGCTGGGCTTTGTGGCCAGGTGGGCTAAGCGGGGGACTCCAGGACCCAGTGAGGGGGCTAGGAACGGGCCATCTTCAGGAGAAGGCCTGTGTGTGGTGTGTGTGAGTGTGTGGTGTGAAGATGTGTGTGCAGCATGTGCTGTGTCCTGAAGGCATCTTTCCTCGCTCCACAGGGAGCAGGAAGGTAAGCGCGCACCTGTCACTCCCTGGGTGGAAGGACAGCCTGGTTTGAAACCGACCTGACCCATCTCTTCTCTCCTCTCTTGCGGCCGCGGCCTCTTTCCTGGAGCAGAAGGAGATGTGGAAGGTATGAAGCTCAGGTGGACGGAGGTGGAAGGGGGGAGGCCAGAAGGAGGGCCTGGGGTGGGGGGCACCATGTCCATTCCCGCCCCTTGCTCTCTGCTGAGCAAAGAGCCTCCCCCCTCAACCAACCGCGGCCCCGAACTGGGATCAGCCCGAGCCCTGGGAGCTCAGATCGCAGGACAAAAGCTTTAAACCTGTCTCTGCTGCCCACTGGCTTGTTCACACAGAATCGCCACTTTTCCCAGTGAATTATCTCTGCTTTCCCTCTAATTTCTTTTTTACCTTGTGAGGTTTTAAATGCTTGTAAAAGTAGCAAAAACAGAAGAATGCAGCCCCCCCCCATGCACCCGTCACCCAGCTCAGCGCCCACCAGCCCCGGCCAGTCTTCTTTCGCCTGCGCCTGCCTCTGCCCAGGACTGAGGGCAGACATCAGAATCAGCCCAGACATCACAGCATCTCCCGCTTACGTAGTTCAGCAATTTCTCTAAAAGATGAGCACTACTTGAATAGCGTAACCATAACAGCATGATCGCGCCTAAAACTTTCAGTTGAATACTTTTTCAAATGAGATCGTGGAAGTGTGCAGGTAGCTGAGACATCTCATGCAGGTATGAAGACACTGTTACCTGGAGCAGGTCCACTGTGACCCCCAGATCTTTGCCCTTCCTTCTCTGTGATCATTACTGCAGCCTGGTGCCCCTTCTCCCTGAAAGCACCTAACCTTCTCTTCTTCCCGGGTGTTTGACCCACGGAGGTGGTCAGGAGAGCTCGCTCTGTCCTCAGCCTGCCCCCAAACAGCTTCTGCACCCCGAGCAGAGTGGACCTTGCCCCTGAGAGGCTCAGCAGATCCTCAGAAATGTCATTCTAGCACATGGTGTGTGGATGTTAGGAGTTGGAAGTTCCGAGGACAGAGTCGGGGCTTGGGAGACATAGGGGCCGTTTCCGTGTCTTCTGGGGAAAATGGGGGCCGCCTGCACATGTGAGGCTGTTCTAGGGGTGCCTGTCAAAGAGGAGACACAGAGACGCTCCCAGGAGAACCTGGGAGGGGTGTTGGGAGCCAGCTCTCAAGGAACAGCAAGCACTTCAGAGGCCATTTGGATAGTTTTGGAACCCAAATGTAGCTGGCTCCCCTCGAGGCTGTGTTCCCTGCCCAGCCCCTCCATACAGTGGGTTTCCTTGGCTTTGGGGAAGGAAGTTCGAGCCATAGACCCTGGATTTGGGACCCATCTGCGTGCTCTGCACAGTAGGACTTGATGGTAAATTAACAAAATAGCTCTCCACTGTGATGGCGGTCTGAGTCCCGTAGCATCTGCCTTGCTTGCAATGAATGGACCACAGCTGCGAGTAGCTACGCCCCTGCTGCCGGTGACCAGGAAAATGAGGTCTGGACAGATGTCACCAAGCTGCTGGGATGGCCAGCCCCAGGTCTCCGCTTCCTCCAGGAGACAGCAGTTCTATGCACATTGTTCCCTAGAGGCGGAACGCTGGGCGTTCCTCAGATGGGCAGCTTCCTTCCAAATCTGCCCCGAGCCCGGCTCTCCTGGAAAGGGGCGGTGTTCTGTGGGTACCCGAGAGGCTCCTTCGGGGTGGGAACGGGGAAGTGTTTGCTGGGAGTGAACTGACCCTGCTCTGCTCTCTGGAGCCTCTGCCCCAGCAGAGGGAGGCCAAGGCCCAGCCATGCAGAGGCAGGAGGTGGCCGGTTACCCCTCAGTCAGTGCTCCCCCGGCCAGGCACACCCGTACATCCCTGAGAAGTAAGTCCACCCTGGTGTCTGCATCCTGCTGACGAGGCACTGAGGCTCCAGGCAGTTACTGGAGCGGGGCGCCCAGGTTGCTAGGAGGTGGTGGGGCAGGACCTGGGCCCCGCCGCCCACTCTCACCCTTCCACATGCTCCCGCCCCGTCCTCCTGCCCCAGACTAACCTGTCTGGCTTCTCCCCTTCACGGCTGCTGCTCCCTGACCCCAGAAGGGGACAGAGATGGCAGTGCAGCTTTGCCTGTCCCGTGACCCACCCCTGTCCCCGGGGCCGCCTGCCAGTCGGGCCTGTTGGGGGGGCAGGTGTGGGGGACCAAGGCCGCCGCTCCTGTTCCCGCTTCCTCAGCTCTCCCCTGGGCTGGGGGGAGGGGGTGACCCAGCCTGGCCAGGCCCCCAGCCTGCTCCAAGTCCAGGTCCGGGGGGACTGACGTCTGCCCTCCTCTAGCGCCCCCACCATCCTGCTCCCGACCCTCCCTCTGGTGGACAGCACCCAGGCAGGGCAGCCAGGGGGTGAGGGGCCTGGGGACAGAGTCATTGGGAGACTCCAGCTGGGGGACTGGAAATGGCTGGGGCAGGGGGGCATGATGTCAGCCCACAAGTGTGTGCTGCTGTGGGCAGGGCAAGACCAGGACAAGGGGGCAGACTGGGGCTTAAGTTTAGAAAGAGCTTTCTGACAGTGACATCTGAGGTGTCGTGGGCAGCTGGGTGCCCATCTAGTGGGTGCTGTGTGGCCACTGGGTGAGGGTGAGGACTGAAACATCAGAGTGGGAGAGGTGTTAACGAGATGGCTGGAAGGTGGCCCCCACACCTGGCCCCGTCCTTGCTGGCCAGCCCTCCACTGTCACCCCCTGCTGGAAGGATCCTCTTTGAGGTAAGCATCCTGCAGGGGTCAAAGAAGAGGCATCTCCAGGCCTCAGAGAGGACTCAGACCTAGGAAAAGAAAGGAGGCCGGGGCAGGGGAGGCCGGGGCGGTGGAGACTGGGGTGGACGTTTCTCGTGCTGGCCCCGCCCCGTCGGGCTTTCCCACCCCCTCTGCTCAGAGGCCGCCACCCAAGGCCCTCAGCCCAGGAGCATCGCAGGCACCTCTTACAGGCCGAGCTGTGTGCCTGGCATCACGCTGTCTAACGTGTCTGTCTGCTCTGAGCATCTGACTGAGGTGGGGGCCACCTCCTGCCGAGCGAGTGGATGAAACAGGAGGATCCCCGGCTCTCTGGGTGGCGCACATGCCCACGTGGCGGGCAGCTCGTTCACTCACGTGCAGGCCAGCTCCTGGTTTCTCTCTGATGCAGATGAAGGGTTTCTAGGGTCTAAGTCCCCGATAGGGGCTTCCCTGACCCCTGTGGTGCCACATCCCTGGGTGCAAAGTCGGGGAGTGGGGCGGGGAGTGAGGCGGGGAATGGGCGCCGAGTCAGACAGAAAGCCCACAGGCAGAGCCCCCGTCCAGCGGGGCCTCGAGGCCACCCCGCTCTGGGGCTGCCCCCGCCGCCTGCCCCCCGTGCTCCTGCCCTCCCCGTGGTCTGCGGGTCCAGAGCAGGTGTCCAGAGACCCCGGGAGGCGAGGCTCAAACAGAAGGACCTGCACAGCCACGCCTTTCCGCTGTGTTCCCCGGCGGCCAGCGGACGTCCCGCGAGGAGCGGCGTTTCAGGCTTTGCGGTGCACAGTCCCTGCGGCAGCGGGCCAGTTCTGCTGCAGCCTGAGGCAGCCGGGCCAAGTACCGGCAGAACTTTATTTACGGAAGCAGTCTGGGGGCCAGGTTGGGCCCTGGGGTTTGCCAAATTCTGGTTTAAACCAAGAACAGAGCCGCCCCGGCCAGTCACACCAGTCACCCCCACATTCATCCTGCCCCTGGATGCCGCTGCGCCCCCCAGCCCCCCGTTCTCCTGCCGGCACATGTGGGGCCTGGGTTCACTGTGTCTGGGTCACTTCTCCAGAGCAGGAGGCAGCGGGAGAAGAGGCTGGAGGCGAGGCTGAGGAGCCCAATGTTGAAGGTGAGGCTCTGCTCGGAGCAGGGCGGGAGTCTGAGGGTCCGAGGGGCTTTGTCCTGGCACCCAGGTGACAAGCGCCCTGGAGCCATTCCCACGGCAGCAAGAAATCTGCCTGGAACATGCTTTGCAGCCCGGACAGCAGTGCGTCCTGCCTGGGCTGGGGCTCAGCCCTCGGCTGTCCGCTCAATAGACGCTGACCACATGCTCCTCTTGTGCCAGGTTGTCTTGGGCGTGGGGGTGGGTGTGTGGACAGAGAGCTCCCGGACCCCAGGCCCCCGCAGGGCACGCTTAGCCAAGGACCTATGTGGGGAGGCTCTTGGCGGGGGGGCCTGAGCTCAGAACCAGGACCTTTACTGATTTCTCATGTTCTGTTTAGAAGATGGACAAGAAGAGGATGCTAAGGAGGTGGAAGGTGAGGACACTGGACATCGGGATGGGAACGGGGGGCCAGGGAGCAGGGCAGCTCTGGGGGAGGGGATGGGGCTCGAGGATGAGAGGACAAGGCTCGGTGACCATGTGGGTTTTGGAGAGAAGCTGCCTTGGTGGTGCCCAGAGGGAGAGGGCCGGGTGTCCAGTCTAGGTGTCCAGTCTAGGCTGGGCAGTGGCCACAAGTCACATGTGCACACGAGTCTCCTGGAGCTTGGGTGACTCTCTCAAGAGTGCAGCATCTGCAGGATGAGATCCCACACACAGATGGTCCATGGGGCGGGTCACTGCTGTGGTCGCTGTCGGGCTTCAGCCTTCTCCAGCCGCCCAGGTGGCCCCAGTCATGCCTCCGGGGACAGTGCAGCCAGTGGGGCTGGGAATCATGCCCCTCAGCTTCCTGGTCCTGGGCCACCAGGAGGTCTGGGGGCAACTGAGGAGGCAGAGACCGGGAGGGGACTCTGGGGCTAGGACCCCCAGGGACTGTGCCTCTGGCCATCCTCCCTGCAGGCCAGTGCTGCTGATGAGAGGGCTGTGTGTGTCCCCGAGACACCCCCAGGGATGCTGTGAGACACAGTGTGGGGTTTGCCACCCTGATGCTTAGTTCTTTGGATTCTCCTGCAACCAGGGGTCCCCAAGGCTGGGAGGGCTGTCCCCAGGGCGGATGGGGAAGCAGAGGCCCACGGGTACCTAGTTCATCAGGGCAGAGTGAGACCAGACCCAGGACCTCCTGACCCCTGGCTGTGTGCTTCCCTCCTCTCCAGACGGCCCAGTGGAGGGGTCCAAACCCAAGCCCAGGTGAGTGGGGCGCACCTGTCTGCACTGAAGCCCTGGGGGCAGGGGCCCGTCAGAGGGCACAGCCGCGACCAGGCCGCAGTGCCCTGTGGCACAGGGGGCATGGGCTGGGGGGTGTACAGGTCGTGTGCTGCACAAGAGTCTCACTGGGGTTTGCGTGTCGGGGGGGACTTGGGGGCCGAAATCCACCCACAGTCCATCACCAGTTCTGTGCCCCCCACGGTCAGCACTGCCTTCATCTAGAGGAAAAGACGGTCCTGACCCTGGGCGGACACCCCATCCTGTCCCACAGGAGAGCTAGAACACCCTCCTCAGTGGCTGCAGTGGGACCTGGGGAAAGAGGGAAGAACACTGCGGGGAAGCCAAGCAGTGAAGCCGTGTCAGCCTAGGCCTGTGGCTTCAGAGAGTCCCAAAGGGCCCCACGGGGCAAATTGGTGCCACATACGTGACATCGCCTGGGCGCTGGGTGTGGGGTGGGGTGGGGGCCCATGAGGTTTTCCTTTCGGGAGGGCCAATCCCACCAGCAGAAGGTGCCTCAGCACACGTGCAGGGGTCTTCCAGCTTCAGCGGGCGGGTCTGAAATGGCCTGACACCAGCCCGGCCCCACAAGTCCAGCTCCCCTCCCGTTCCTGCGCTGGTACGAACACAGGAGGGTCTCGTTTCAGCCCCACACAGACGAGGGCAGACGGGGAAACCAAGGCCCAGAGCCCACGGGCCCCATGTCACACAGCTAGGGTGTGGTGGGGTGGGGACCAGGCTCCTGGGGAGATGCCAGGACGTGGCCAAATGCATCACCTGTCAGCCTCTCTTCCTCCTGGCTGTGTGGCTTTGAGCAAATCACTACGTCTCTGAGCCTCGGTTTTCTTAACTGAGATCAGTGGTTCCTGCTCCGTGTCTGATGAAGGGACACGTGTGAGAGCTGTGGGACCCCCACGTGGGTGCTGAGTGAGCGTGAGGACCCCATGTGGACACTGGCGCTGGTATCACCGGGCAGTGGGCCGCCACGCTTCCACAGGGAGGAGGGGCTCCTGTCCACCGGGCACCGCAGCCCCTCAGGTCCAGGGAGGGGTGGCGCTCACGCCTCCTTCTGTCCGCCAGGCTGTTCATGCCCAACCTGGTGCCGCCCAAGATACCCGACGGAGAGAGAGTGGACTTCGACGTGAGTGCCGGCTTTGGGGAGGGCCGGCTCCATGGGAGAGACCTCATGGCCTTGTGGCTGTGGAAGGTCGCGGCAGGAGGGCATCCAGCGCTGGCCGCTGTCCTGGGTTCAGGCCCCAGCTGCCCCTCTGAGCCCAAGGCCCCCTATCCCCGCAGGACATCCACCGCAAGCGCATGGAGAAGGACCTGAACGAGCTGCAGGCGCTGATCGAGGCGCACTTTGAGAACAGGAAGAAGGAGGAGGAGGAGCTGGTCTCGCTCAAGGATCGGATCGTGGGTGTCTGCCCCCTCTACCCCGCCCCAGCCCTGGGGGGCCTGCCCTGGGGACCCTGGCCCTGCTGGGAGTGAGGTCCAGCAGGGGCCCCCTTCCCACCCCAGAGGGCTGGAGCTGACCCATCCTCTCTGACCACCCCTACCCCCTCCCTCCCAGCGGGCAGAAGCCCCCCCACAATGGAGGGAAGATGCAGGTGGCCTCTGGAATCCCAGCTATCCCACTGGCGGGGGAGGTTACTTGGA